CCGAGATGATTTGAAACAGCAATGAGAATCGCCCTTCCGTGGACACAAATGACCACTGGTGAGAGACATAACTACAGGCAGACGACACGGAGGGGCAATCATTCTCGCACCGGGAGGTAAAGCCCTTACGGGTAGTATTTACGGCTCCGGCCATATCATGTCGTAAAGAAGCGGCCGTTTTTTTACGACAGCCACCTTGAAGTAAAACTACACATTTACGACAGGTTCTACAATACTGCTGGCGAACACTTTACGACTCTTTCAGCGATGTGGCAGACGGGCATTTTCTAGCCTATCGTGATACTTACAGTACATATGTCACATTTCGGTATTGACTAAACGAAACCAAGCGTATCCAAATAACATCGGTTGTATGAGTAATCGTCTACGCACCTTCCAACAAATATATGTACAGCAAGTATGCTATCAGATACATGTATCACGCGCGAAGTCGATATTGTACACATGATACTACAAATTATCTGCTAGCCTATCTCGTTGGAATGTTTATTTCTTAGATGTTACTTGTGACGATTGAGAGTCTAAAGGTTGTACCTCAGAACTGTTACTGAAGTTTACTACAGGGCCACTACCCCAATTTCCCACCATTGTATTTCTAACGCAAGCTTTTAGATTATACTTCACGACCTGGTACACACTTGCTTCTAATATTGTGCCCTCAAACAAGTGCAAGTAATTTATGGATATCGCCATAAGTAATTAAAACATCTATATAAAGGTGTAGCATACGAAATTTGGTGGCCAAGGACAGATCCAGATAAAAGGAAAAAGGCATGGCCTTATGTCTTACAAGGGATGAAGAAGATAAGTAAGTAATACGAAATTTTCTGTACGTTCATTTCTTCATACAAGCATTTCTGCAACATCTATGTACAAATTGTCATTCCGTGACACTCAGAACCCTGCAGGCGGCTGTCGGTAAGATCCGTGTGTTCTGATAGTCAATAAAGCAGAGTCTACTGCTAAACGTTAATGGGGTTGTCGCGATATGAAGTAAAGCTGCAATTCATGGCAGTCAATATGATTCAGGCTTTAAGAGATCCCGACACAGAACGTGAAGTCGGTAGTACGTACGATGTGCATTCTCCGTGTGCTGTTACTGTGTATTAAATAGAATAAAGCAGATATGTAGCGTATAGAGAATTAAAATCAAATAGGCTATGAAGTCTACCCTGCCAGGGGACAGTTACCCTAGTTCCAGAAGCATACAGGATAGTTACTTCCAAATTTTGCAAGCTGGTTAAATGTAATATTCTGCGTCCTTTACTTGAATACTATTAAATCCCCATCAGTCACTGCCGTAAGAATCAGATGACTCTGCATTACTGTCAAGGTGTCGGATCGCTGTATTGGTTTTATCGATCTGAAGCGTGGAGTGCGGTACAATTAACAAAATGATCACGTGAACTTGTTTTTACACACATATTAGAATGCCAACGCGCATTACAAAGAGAAGAGAAATGGGTAAGAAGTGCCCTGAGTGACACTCAACTTCTATTTTCTTGAGATAGGTTTATTTGGCGCATTATAGATAAAGACAAACAGTTGAGAATTTAATTTGTTCCCACTCTGACACGAAAGTAATCTGTGTGCTAAAATGTTTAGCTTAAAGCGTATGCAATTTTTGTGCGATTTGAACGCTTTGCGAACGTTAGTTAGAAAAGAAAATCCCCACCCACTAAGCGTTGAGCTGTCCTTATCTTTTGGTGGCTGCAAAAGACAGTATCAAATTGGCCAGGTAGAATCCATCTGCCACCCTATGGCTGGTGAAAAACAGATACCAGTACAAAAACGAAAGCCCGATGAAAACGCATAAAACACGCTAAAGCCTAAACCTCCTCTGCTTGGAGAGAAGAGCTGCCCGGCATCTCTGAGTTGGACGTAAGTCGATCAAACTCGCCGGGCAGCAGAGCGCGGGGGCACCCGGTGGGACAACACAGAGGCACGGGGATTTACCTCCTCATCCACTCCAACTATACAGGTCTTCAAGAAGCTGTTTTACCGGAGGAAATCAATCTTGCGGAAAGAGATGGATACGTGGTGTCATTCTGAAACATGTTCCTGACATAGATGGGTTGCTTGGGTTTTACACAAGGCTTAGCGCTACGCCTGGTGAACTTACTCTGCCGTTGAAGGTTACTGTAATAGTGAAGTTGGCTTGATTTCAAGCAAGACGATCTTAAAATGTGTCGGTAACGTGAAAGCAGATGCTTAGCAAAGATGTTAAACCTTAAAAGATTGCCCAGTGGATATTTTACACAGAGGACAGTAGGGTCATCTTACAACCGCAAGAAAACTACGAGAGCTAAGAGAGATTGGGCCCGAGAGATAGTAAGATACAAGACGCAGTGAACATACATGTAAATTGAAGAAAAACTGATTGCAACTACAGGACGTTTCAACAGCTGCAGATGCAGTACCAGTAGCTAATAATGATCTCTGCTAAAAAAGGAGAGAATTATTAACGAGTTTACATATCATATAACAGCAACGTCAATGAAATTTGAAAATCCGGCCGGGCAACATGTCACCATCTCTCTTCCTCCAACATCATACGTGTTGGGAATGCGGAAAGTGATGAGAAGATGGCTACATTTTAAACTTAGAAATCCACGGAGGATGACAGCGGGTGACCCTTTAGCCCTGGTGGCAGCTGCAGACAAACTTTGACCAGTGCAGTAAGTTTCACACCTCCCCCGGAATCTCTGCCCGCTCCCGGTCCGGCGCTCCACCGCGGATCCGCTGGATTGATGACACGCGGAAGAGAGATTTACAGTCGACCCGGAGACTGGAGCGATAACTCGGGAAAAACAGATGATGCCAAGAGCTTTGCCGGGCATTATCGAGAGATGGTGCTATCAGTTAGGGGATTTTCCCGGCAGAGGAGCAAATCCGTTTGCCGTGAATTCGGGTAGTGTCCGAAAATTCCGTCACTTCTTCAACTGGGAATGGGCTTACGTTATATTAGGCATTAGGTTGTGTTAGGATGTGAAGACGACTTTGGGGTGGGATAGATGCTTAGCAACTGCCATTGGAGAGCTGTGATGGAAACTACGTGGCCGACGTCCTTATCTTGGATCCAACAAAAGGTAGATAGATGGTATAGCGCTTCGATCGTGAGTTAGAGGCTTGTGAGGCGGTAAAGTACTTGCAAGGCACGGGGCCGTACGTTAAGCTAGGTAAGGTAAATGTAATAAAAACAAGATAAAAATCTATGATTCCCTTGCCTATCAACTAGGCACTACGAACAACATTGAAATAGTGGAAAGATAGCAGTGTTAAAATAAAATTGATACAAGACATATCAAAGGAGTACGTAGCCGGAAAAACAGCCGTGCATGAGTTCAGTGCGCCTGTGATGTATGAAGGTTTCTGGGCTGTAATCTGCTGTGGTGCCAGCAGTCGCCCCGCAATATAAGGCCAAGGTAGTTTTGCCCCATTACCGCTTTAGCCAACTGAATGTACGCCGCGCGGTATTCTTCATGTGTGTTGTGATTCTTTGCTTTTGTTTTGAAGGCAAGACATCGTACGCTTGTCTGCGTCTGAACGACTAACCTGATTTAATTTTTTTATTTCTGATGCATTTTCTGATGAATCAAACTAACTCTCGTTTCAGTCTGTATCGCTTGATATGACCAGAAGGTTTAAACCTTCATTATGAGACAGAACTGGCGGAGACAATACGAACACCGCGGTGTACTGTGTGCGCTTTTCCTGCTCGACCGTGCACCCTCTGCCGTTGCCGCGTGTCGTTCCTGAAAAGCTAATTCCCGACAAGTTGTTGAGTTAAACGCCCGGCAGCCCCGCGATGTGCCATCCATCTCTGCCAGCTGCGCCCTGCTATCTTGGCGCCTAATTTGTACCGCCAAATGCAATCAGAAGCTCTCCGTGGAAAACGGCAAATCTCCTACATTTATCAAACTTTGATGATTCTGGTTGGGAGTGCGCGAGGTGAGGAACCCGGCGGATCTCCTCAAGGTTGAAGCAGACGATAAAAGAGAAGGGAGGTCAGAGAGCGATAAGCCGTCTCACGGCCATCTCACAAGCTATTTAATTGGATTTTGATAAAAATTCACTTCTTCAAAGCTCCGATCAAGTTGGAAAACGGGAATGCTCATAAGGCGGTTTGCCAGGTAATACATTCTCTTCCGTGCCTCCTGGTGTTCACTGTGTCTACGTTGTCCATGGGAAATGTAGGAAACTTGCACATTAAACAGAGCCCATGTATACGCGAAACAGTATGTAACTGTAATGCAGAAATATTTTTGATCAGGTCGAACGAAGACACTAGAGCTCATCATACAAAATGCATCACCACGCCGACTTACCGACCACGACTGTATACGGTTGGAAGTACAATTCACCACAGTCGACATTAGAAACCATCGCAAAAGGGCGAGATATTAAATTTCGGTGTCAGTGTTCCTCAAATGTAGCGTCACCCCTTTCCATGGTGATCCATCAGAAGGTACATCAGTCCATCGTACGGCGGTGCGGGGAATACTAATGATTCCAAGAGCGTGTATGGTATACACGTGCCAGGATATAGATTTCCCATCACACAGTCCCAATAGGCAGAATATGTGATAGGAATTTCCAGTAAATGGTGAATTTTAAAACGCCATGCATAAAACCAGAGGCACGGTGGTCGGCTGTAGTGGGAGGGAAGCCAAGTGCCCCTGCAATATAAATCTAAACGCTGCCCTGGCCAGTCATTTCCAACTCCAGTGTGGTCCAGTGTCAGTGTATAGAACGTTTTGCCAAAACAAATGACAACCGATAGCACCAAATTGTACCAAAATCTGACCAAATCATTTATCATAGCCGATACCTCTAGATCTAGTAACGTTCTGACACGAATGACAAGAATCTTTTATCAGATACGTACACCGCATGTATATATCATAGATAACACATTATCACCTATGCAATGTTCACTGTACGTGTACAAGAAAACGGAAAAATACATTCCTTATAGATATGCATCAATATCTTTAATATTGACCTTAGCCATTGTTACATCAGATATGATCAACATATTTTCCGTGCCCGTCTGCGAGGCGTTAGTCTCCACGAGGTGGCACCTCCGTCTCACAGATTCATCTTATCGATCTGCCCTTCTTCGACTTTCCCGAGAAGATTCTTTTAGTATTGAACCGTAGCGCTTCTAACCATCAACTCTAAGGTAGAGGGATCAACGTAACTTTCGCAGCTCTACTGTTACTTTCTGGACCACCAGAGCTGTGTAGTTTCATTATCAGTCTTGTTCGTTTCGTGTGTTCAGTTATTCATTTTTAAATAACCTATCGTATCCTTCCTTACGAATCATGCATTTATTAAACCTTAATTCAACTGAGGAACGTGAGCAGATGTGTGGCCTCAGGTTATAACTGCATTTCAAACGGTTTGAATTTCTAGAACTCACATTAAGGTGGAGTATGCCATAGTTTCTTGGCTGCACTTCGAATTCCTTTCAGCAACAAATACGCAAACACAATGTGATGAAGCACAGTGTGGGAATGCATGCAGTATCTTCCACATAGCTTCTGTGGATTACTGTGTAACTGTGACCATGTCCATGTTGACAAGAGGCAGGTGGCCCATGATGGCAGTTTTAGAAGCCCTTCCTGCTGACCGGCCTCAGCCCCTTCTTGGCTGCCTTGTGAGTGGTGGGGTCCAGCCTCCCTGTGGCAGCAACACAGTTGTCGTGTAAAACAACACTCAACATCAAACTGCAAACTACAGCAGATATAGAGTCATCATCAAACTATAAACTACAGTAAACAATGGAATGAATGGAATTATAAAGAGACTAGGCTAGAAATTAGAATTTAACCAAGTATGGAGAAGAGAAAAATAAAACAACTTAATAACCCTAACAAAAAAGGCCACAGTGCCACACTAGCAGGCGTATCACAGATAACCTTTATGTACATTCATGCCCTACCGGGCTAAGTACAGGTAAACAGATGCAAAGGTATATACATGTGTGCCAACAGGACTACTGATGACTACTGATACTAATCTATCATCATACACTGCTTTAATACAGAACAACATTAGCTCTAAATTACAATCCTAGTTGTTGCCAAGAAACTTGCACAAAGCTCTTGTCTTGACAAGTACTTAGTACTACTCTAGTGAGGAGAATGACACTGGCACAGCCATGTTCACACAGGTGACACCCAGGGCCATGAGGGAAGAACTAAGCAGGGACTAGCTGCGGTTAGCTGCCAGAATCTTTACTCCCACTGATTGAGCCTCACTAATGACAGCTTCCCAATTTGACAGGGTGGGCTGGCGGCCTGCCAGATTAGGTAAACACACCAGTGGTGTTAGCTAGCTGTGGTGAACCTTAAGGCTATATGGGGAATCTCGAGGTTTTGGCATTGAGGGTCATTGACTGCTGTGGAAAACAAGATAATATTACTGTATCACAAGAGACTTCTCTTTTTTTTTAAACAGTGTTAGATATCTGTCAATGGTAATGGTTTTACTGATGACACTTATTTCATGATTTTCATCAGCACATTCATACCAAGACAAGGCCGGTATGGAAATGAAGGCCACACAGATATGAGCATTGTTATGTGTCATGGATGAAAAAATTGAAAAGTATGTCAGGGTCACATGGTACATCTTAATTAGTAAGTGCTCAAAATCAGTCATTTCGTTATTGTAGGGACTACTATCATCTGAACCTAGTTATCTCCTGGTGGCCCAAAATGTAACCAATAGGTCAAGACGAAACTTAATATCATTACAATCTTCTTGAATTATGCTGTTCAAAACAAAACAAAAAATGCTGTTCAAAAACAAAACAAAAAAAAACACACACACACAGAAACTGGAAAACATAACCTTCTTAATGAAGGTAATGAAAGTTAAAGCACCCTCAGTAACTACTATAAACATCGCACACATAGTGCTGGCATCCTGGAGCTTGAGAACGGGAATACTAAAGTACTTTTCCGCCAACACATACCTTTCTGCTGCTAGGTAAGATGGCAATATACTGGCATTTACTGATACAGCAGCATTTCATACATATTATACAGCACAGCATCATGATTTGTAACACTAAGACACCCCATGTGATGTGGGGCTAAACATTTGACAAGGGTTTGTGTAATTAATGCAGGGAAACAAATAGAAGGATTATCTTGACAGACTGTGCAATTTTCAGGTGGAGGCAATTCAATCTAATTCAATAAATCTTGACAAATGGAGTGTGCATTATTCAACCTTCCTTGTGGTACGTTCGGGGGATAGCACTGTCAATGTAATACTTTAAAACATCATTTATGCCTTTGACATTCAGCGTTTTATCGACGTAGCCCAGCCCCTTATGCCGTGACCTTGAGAGAACACACACACGCCGCCTCGGGCAGCGCAGCAAATCCTCCCCGCCTGTCCGCCCTTACCCTTCACTCTCCGTCCCTCCAGATCTGCTTTCCATACGGATTTACAACCGGAGGAGAAATGTCTTTATTTTGCTGAGCCTCCGTGGATGCGGCAGGCAAGCCCCCGTACACGCACGCATGTTCCACAGAGATGGTATCTCCCCCATGTCCAACAAAGATAAATGATAACTACGGTAAACTCAAACGTTCCTCATGCATCTTAACCACCCACAGATAAAGCCAAGTCCGAGTTTGAATGTAAATCTTACCAACTGTCCAAGTATATATTTAACAATAGGGACACATACAGGTGACTTATAACCATCCACAACATGTGGAATATGTCAGGAATTGTGCCATATTAAATCATTTGGCTTCTTGCCATGAATAATATTGCTGTAAAAGGTGAGATGAAGCAGTCTGGTAGTAGATATTTTATCTGCTACTCCCTGAAGACTGCATACATGTATGTGTCATCCAAGCAGATGTAGTGTCCAGCTCAGTGTTTTTTCACAGATCTTTGTGATGGTAGTACATTTTTGTACTAGGTTTGTGTACTATAACCACCTTGAACAAACTTAGGCAATTTAGGGAAGGCAGATTTGTGTCTTTCCTTGTCGGAGTAGTGTATGTTTGAATTGTAGGAAACAAACAATAAACAAGAAGTAACAATGCCTGACTTCAGTACCATGTGTATCCTCAGTACCATGTGTAGCATGTGTAGGGGGTACAGACAGGAAATATGCAGCAGCTAAAATATACCTTCTCAGTCATAACCACTCTTTAAGGATGATCAATATTTTAAGACTTGTGCACCATCCCAATATTATCATCTTCTCTTTACAAGACCACATAAATACTGCACATTAACTACAATCTTTGTTTTTAAGCTCCTCTAAATGTTTTAGGCACAGTTGCAGAGTATATTTCTTTTTCTGTGCAATCTAGCAATTTGGCTAGATTATTCAAATACATCAAAAGATAATAAAAACATTTTTAAAAATCCATGACACCTTTGCATAATACCCAAATTCAGCCAACCAAAAGTGTAAACAAAAGAAACACTACTTTCCTGTCATCCAACACTGTGTGAAGCATATATAAATTATGCAAAAGCATGCACACACTTTTCATTAAATAATTGCACTGTGACATTTGCCTTTACCGGGTCTTACGGATTGCGTCTCCCATCCATTTCTACTGTCTGTCAGCGGGATGAGATTACAATGAAGACATATTCTCAACAGCTGATTGCTTGGTGTAATGGAAATCCTGATGTTGACTGTGATATTAAGCCATGTATGTCCCCTCCAGTGTAGGCAATATAGCGAGATGCAGCGCTATCAACGAGCTGTGAGCGCGGGCATCCATCTTCATGTTCTATTTCCTTCATCAGTAGGGGTTGGGAACCTCTCCGCTACTGAAATCTACAATCACTGGCGGCCCCGCAAGCCTGCACAAGCAGCTCTAATCAGTGTGGGATGAACAGGGACGGTCCCGGGGGAACGGTGACCTTGTCTGTCCTTCACCCGCTTTTGTCAGCGAGAGGAAGGGGAGGATCAGTACTAACTAATCCTGGAGCGGGGTGGCCCTGGGAAAACATCATGCAGTACAAGAGTGCCTCCTATCTCCCTTTGTAAGTACTGCATGACGCAACTCAAATTTTGTGCAAGTTTTGCTTGGTCAACAATTTGTAACCGTCTGAAACCATTAAAAAGGGCAAGCGAGCAATCATGCAAGCCAGCAAGCAAGCATTTACCTGAATTTACCTGGTAAATGCTTGCTTGCTGGCTTGCATGATTGCCTTTACCGGGTCTTACGGATTGCGTCTCCCATCAAGCGAGCGAGGAAGCAAGCAAGCAAGGAAGCAAACAAACAAACAAACAAACAAACAAACACTACTAGAATCTAAGTTGTAAGTCCTGTGTACTTACAGATTTTGTGCTTGCCCTTGATGGGAAACTTGATGATGAGGTCCTGGAAGTTCTCACAGATAAACACAAAGTCTGAGCCTGACTCCCCATCTGGGTACTGCAACAGGAGACAACAACAACCCATCAGCTTTCAGGTCTTTTTTTTTTACCCCATGTGCTCTATTCATAAACATGTGTCATACATCCTATTTGCTAAAGGGACCAATATGAACAATAAAAGTCTTCATAGTTGGAGTATATTAAACTATATATATCATGGACTAATATTGGAAGGTAAAATGGTGCTTGACCACTCCTATGGAGGTTGAAAAAAGTTGCCTGCTGACTGCCATACCTGTTCCCTGTACTCCTCCTGAGGTAACACATCAGCCACATCCACACACCCCAACAGACATGCCACGGGGTAGTCCTTAGGGAACTGGAGATCAGGTTCTGGAAACAAAAACATGTAAAAAATTGTATCACAGAGTTTCACCAGGACATGGAAAGTGTTGGCTGATCTTGACAAACTTATCTACAAGTGGATTAGCATTGTTTGTGATGTTCAGGTCCAGGTCCAAAGCTTGCAGAACATTGACAGATGAAGACTCTTGGACTAGATTTAGTCTGGGTAAACAGCCCAACATATGCTTCCAGTACCAGAGCTATCAACCAAGGATGGAAGTGTTCAGAAACTCATTTTTTCCTAGAACTATTGTAGGGTGGATCTCACTGCCACCAAGTACAGTGGGTGCATTATCACTAGTTAGCTTTAAACAATGTAAAGCTGGTGTGTTACACCAAAGGGTTGCTATGCCAGCTATACAAATACAGAACATGATAATGATGATAAAGAAGGAGGCAGGGTACCGTTTGCGATGATACGATGAGCGTTCTCCACCTCGGCCACCTCCTCCTGGGACGGCTGTTTACTGGCCGCTGCTATCCACAGTCTGCCGCGGTGTGGGGAGTACCAGGTTCGTCCTTCATGTCTGGGTAGGTACACACAAGTCACAACAGTCAGCTTTAGATAGAACATAGACAGGGTTCTCACCATTTTCCAACACACGTGTAAAGTCACACATTGAGTCCCAAAGACATGACCACAGTAGGGGTCCAGTTTTTAAAAAAAAGAAGTCATTAAGCCTCTGAGATACTATTTCCTGCTTATTGAGGGACAAATTACTTGGTTACAGCCATATTCTAAAGTCAAATCTTAAAAAATCTTTCTAAAGATTTATGAAGGGTCACAGTGTTCTCCCCTAAAAAAGCTCCTACTATAGTTGAAAGACAGTGTAGGGGGCTAAATCACAGCAAAGGAGAATCAACACACATATACATGTACATTGTATATCTGTTACATACATTCTTAGCAATAATAACATTCTTCACTTTACTTATCTCCTCAGGCTCTGTTCCTTACTTTTTGATCCCGAGGACCAGTAGTGAAGCCCATGGCTGGTGCATACTGAGACACATGCCGTCATCTCTCATCTCCTGCAGCTCCCTGTCCTGGATCCTCATGTTGGTTCTGTGTTTCTCCCTGTCCTCAGCCTGCACACCCAGCGGGGCAGGGGGTCTCTTCCCTGCTGATTCAGCTGCTGGTACAAACTAGGGAACAAGGTAGCAAAATATACTGTTAATTCGTGGTAGCAAATTTTGCACGCTGAAATAAAAAAGGACATGTTTGTAGAACTATATGTTCGCAGTGGGGGTAGGTGCAGAAGAAAGAAAGTTGGCAAACTATTTGCAGTAATGATAAATTTGCGGTACAGAAGTGACCGCAAAAAACGTGAATAGAAAGTACTGCGAATATACAGTGATTTACTGTACATTCTTTAAAACTGGATCATAATCTAGAAAGTCATTGTTAATAGAAGTCATTTGAAGACAGCGGAAAAACATCTAGACTTTATCTGACTTGCAAAATGACAAACAAGACCTCTACTTGTGCATGTACTAGTGCTAGTAGAATGCTTGCCAACTGGTCTCACCTTTGGAGGTTGTATTCTGATGTTAGGGTTGACAATGCCACTGTGCCCCTCCTGTGTTCCACCACCCTTTCCTTTCCTGTTCACCCCAAAGTTAGTTCTCTGTACAACCTCGTCCTGCCTGTTGTACACGTCAACAACCGAGTCATCCTCGATAACCCTTCGTCCAGCAAAGTCCAGCGTGACTTTCCTGTTCAAACGTGAACCAAACCGCTGGTCGCGAAGCTCGTCTTCCCGCTTTTTCAGCGCTTCTCGCTCTTCCTTGGACAACCACTGGTTCTCCACGCTGAAGTAGTCAGCCTCATCATCAAGAACCTGTGTTCGTTTGGCACTGGAATAGAAAGGACAAGGTGTTCCTAAAATATATTACCAGAGAAAAAACATCTACCGATATTTCCTTTTTAAAAAATTCCTATGATTTCCTGTCTTAACTGTTGGAAGTTGGCTGCCAAAAGGATTTTAAAAAGTGTTAATAACTTAAGAAATAATACAAGAAGCAAATGATTATTACAGTTAGTAACAAATACAACCAACTAAGATATATCACTATGATCATAAAAGCGTTTACAGCTATCTTTGTAAGTACATACAACAGACTGCACATGTTGTGTAAAAGCTATATAGATGCACCTTGTCCTATCATACTCCAGCAGCTTGTTCTTATGAGCCTCTGCTTTCTCCTTTCCCTCCAACAGGCGGGCCTCCTCATGAGGCAGTAGTCTCCGCCCTCCCTGCTCATCGAGGCCACCTAGCAACTTTCTCCGTAATCGCTCGCTCTTGTTGGAATTCCTAGCAAGAACTTCTTTCTCTTCCTTGGTGCAAACCTAGGGACATTCAGGCATTGAAAACTTGTAAGGCCAAGGAAAAAATATTGTGTTTCCAGTTTCAGTCTTGCAAAAATTGTTCAACTGTTGTGACATGCTCATTGTAATACAAACAAAGAAATGTACCAAAGCTCCACAGAAGAGACAAGGCCCTGAGCCTTCCTGTTCACACACGATCCTGCCACAGGTCAGACAGTTGTTGACGAGTCTGTGTTTCTGTCCCAGACACTCGCAGGGATGTCTCCCAGGTAACATCACTGCCGTCAGATGGTCCTCCCCGTCCTCTCCATATAGACTCTTCCACTTGGTCTTCCCACTGCTGGGCTTCTGGGACTGGGGTCCGCTGGTGGGAGGGAGGTTTTCTTCCTATGAAACAGAAGGAATCAGAGAGGTTCTATCAAAGACATTTTATATTGTTATAATCGGAGATAATCTGCAAACTAACCTGGTGACATCTGACACAGTTGGTAAAACTGTAACTAGTTAACCATGGCCTGTGAACACAAGCTCTTTGTCCAGTGCTCAAAGAGCTGCTCGGGCAGCCGGCGAAAAGCGAGGTTCTGTCAGGCTAAGTTAACCACATTTGCATATATGTTTGACAAAGTTATATCTCTATTTCTCTAGCACAGTACTTGCAGAGTTTGTCCTCTGATATAGAAATACACATCAAATACCACACAAAACCACACCCCATTCAAAAATAATTCCTATGTAATACTAGTAATCCTGTGCAGATGTATATACTGTACCTCCTCTTCATCCCCACCAGTACCGACAGACACTCCTGTCATCTGTGTGGACTTCTGTTTTCCCTTTGTCTTCTTTTTCTTCTTCTCCTGAAGACCAAACTGCTCGTCTTCAGTCACATGGAAAAAGGAAACATTTCAAGGTAAAGCAGCTGTCTTATATTGTTATAATCAGGACAGGTATAGCGATTTTTCTAAGTATGGCTCATACTGCAAAGTGGCTAGCCACTGCTTATGTTTCTATCAGAAATTAGAAATCTGGACCCTCTGAAACGCTATTTCATTAAATCTGTGGGTCACATTTTGCTGGTAGACAAAGATTAATGACATCTCTTTCCATATCTTTACATTCAGATTTTTGTTAATCAAAGATGATGGATTGGACAAAATTTGTGTCCAACTTGCCCAATATTTTACATTTACTAAGAAGAGTAACACTAACAGGCTAAAGTCTAGGTACAATAAGGGCGCAAGGAGGTTTTAACCTTCTTGTAAGGCCCAAGTTGCTCAATATACCTGCACCTGAGGACTTCTTATAGACTGTGACATTTTCTGGAACCTCTGGTTGTTTGACAGCAGGTTTCCACCTCTTCAACAACTCGTCAAGAAACTTCCTGTTCTTGGGGTCGGATCCATCCAGCAGCTCTAACAGGTAATCCTCCAGGTCACGGCTGCTCTCCATGGACAACATGTAGCTACAGGTAACAGTGACAATAGACAACATGTTAGCCATATACAGAGCTTGAAATAGTTGATGGCTGTTGATTTAACTTTTTTTCCAGTTACTACAATTTTGTGAGTTGGCAGAAAATTTATCTGTAGTTTTACATTGACATTGAAGTTTTTGCAAATGGGTAAAATATACTTTGACATAGTGGCCAATTTGACGTAACTCTTTGGAGCCTTCAGTCTACTTTACAGGGTCGTTAGTTATTATAAACTACTACTTAGGTACACTTTTATTCATGAAGCCATCCTATTTTTTTTCATATGCAGAATTGCTAAATGTTATGCAATCACACTTAGGCAAGGTTCCCCCCTCCCTCCTCCCCATGATTTTAACACGTAGCAGGTAACTTGTTATGGTTGATAATGTGGGTATTTCAAAGAAAGAAAAACACAAATATTAAAAAATAAAAGAATATATACGGATGTCAAGAGAGTCACCACCTGGCAATGTCCTCGGACGCCTCTATCTGTAGGAGTTTAGAAAGTTCTTTGCAGCACCACTGCACCAACTCCGGCGTCGCCATCTTGTCACTTTGTTGATTGCCGAATGTTTCCGAAAATGTACGAAGATTGCATGACAAAAAATTAAGAGGATTTTCTAGTCCTAAAACTTTTTTTTTAATATGAGGGATAAAAATTTGGTGATGTAATGAAATTAAATGTTTCTAGAATGGAAAATTATGGAAAAATTTTATTACTTCGGAAATCTTCGCCGTCGGTCGGAGATTCGTCGTCCGCGACAAAAAACGCGGGAAATACAGTCCTGAGAAGCAGCCGAAAGAAGACAGACGTGTTTACTGCGCTCTGCACATTTTCTACTGTTTTCCGGCGAATTGTATCCCTTTAGACCAACATGGTGCGAACAAAAGGTAGCAACAGTGGTACAAAAGGTAAATCTGACTTTAAATTTTGTTAGAACTAAATTTTAGCGGGGGATTATTTATGTTTTACGTTTTTAATAGGGTGAGCTTGGTTCGCGCGGTTTTGTGTACCAGAGAAAGGTATCCGTCATGAATATTTTTACTGACTTTCGTTGTTCAGCTGCAGGGATATAGAAAGGGAACACGTTAGCCTGAAAGTATGATGCTGTATCATTTCTCTAGCGTCTTGCTTTGGCTTTAATAATGCGTATCATGTATATCAACCGGCCCTCCATGCGATTTGCCCCCCTCCCACTTCACCAAAAAACATTCAGAAGAACACATACTAACACTTGAAGCTTTACTGCAACACGATGCAACTTGGCTTAAATGTGAATGAAGCGTAATACCAAGCGTAATCTGTATGATACAAGAATTTGATGATTTCCCTTTGACTTGAACTTAAAAGCTAATTACCAAATAGTTGTGTTTTGTTAGTGATAATTGAGAGGGATAAAACAAATGGCTTTAGATTACAGTATGTACTGATTGTGTGTATTGTATTCAAAACTACAGCTGTGGCAGCAAAAGCACCCAGGAAAGCTCTTGTCTCAGCACCGAGCAGTAACTTCACTCCGGGATCTCCTGGTAGGGTGGTACTCATATACCTTCTTCAATTATAAATATATAACTTGTATGTTGTGGGGGTCTAGAAGAATTTGCGACTTCAAAATTTCCTTTCTGATTTGAACGTTGGGCCCGACATCAGCTCAGCTGCCAGGGCTTCCACTGTATTGCACTGTATTGTTTGCAATTTAAATAAATAAATAAATAAATAGATTTGAACGTTTAATGTATGTGAATGAAGACCCATCCTTTACCTCATTTTCACCTGTACCAAATAGCAAGACATTTACTCTGTTAACCTAGCTTTATGCGGCGGAAATTTATGCCTGTTTCTTGCATTTTGTACATGTGTGTAGATATTTGTAAATATTTGTAGATATAATTTTAAAATTTAGATATATGTACATTGTAGATAGATTGTTTGAAAACTCGACCAATACTAACGTTAGTAACGTTACATAATACATTGTAGGAAGGTGCAATGATGGTTTTCCATTCACTCATGAATGCATTCATCTATCTATCTATCTATCCATCCATTCATTCACAGCAGGTAGTGGTGCGAGTTCCAAGTATGCAGGTGGGAACCCCGTCTGTCCCAGACCGACCCCTGCATGGCAGAAAGGTATCGGGAACTTCTTCAACCAGGGAGGCAGCAAGGAGAACAGAACACCACAGGAGAAGGACCAGGGCACCGGCTCCAGCTCAAGGTAAAATGTTCAACATGTCAAAATGCAGAGTACAACGTGATACCCCAGGGCTCGAAATACTTTCCTATTGTTATCTATAATTTATAAGAATACTTACTGCTGCAGTTTCCTTCAAACACCATTAGATTGATAAATATATGTTGTTTTATTGCTCGAGCTCTGTGATGTGCTTTCATAGTTGTATTGCAAGGTGTTCCCTTGAAAAAAGTTGCTTTATTCTACTTTTCTCTTCTTCATGACCAAATCTGCATCTGGTCTGCATAATTTTTTAATGCTGATTTCTTTCTTCCCTACAGTGCTAGCAACTGTGTGGCAGATATGGACGAAGGCATCACCGAGGAAGACTAAAAACATGGGGACGGTTGTTCAGATATCTGCTCCGATATTAATTAATGCATCTAACCTGGCAGCTAAGTGCCTGTATAAGATTGGTGCTCCTCATTTCCTATGGCTGTTTTATATTCTTTAAAATGATAAATTAGGTTTAAAGGAGTGGAAAAGCTACCAGAAAAAACACTACAACCACTACCTACAAATGTATTGTAATTTGTGAAAAGCTTTATTAACCTGGTGGTCCTGATGGTGGATATTGTAGTGATTTGATTCCTCAAAGTATTGAATGAACAGGGCATTTTATGACTTATATCACCTTTACTGATTGTGAAAAAGCAGGCTGGATTGAATATACCCAGTATACATGTATCTACACATTGAATTGTCTGCATCACTTCTTGTGTATCTCCAGTTAGTTAGAAGTACTTTGGACAGTTTGGGAATTATTTAGCATTTCTAAAGTAAGGTCCAGTCATAGAATTATGTTAGATTAAATTGTATTGCAGACATGTTGACATGTGTAGAAGAAAGACCAGCATTGTAATATGAAATTGGGGCTACCTGTACTATTGTTCTTTTGTCTCCCAATTAAGAAGATTAATTTCAACTGTAGTTTGCAACTGTCTTTTAGAACAGGAATAAAAGACTTGTACAAAGGAACTGGCTTGGCTTTGTGACTCTTGGGCAATGTCTCAGACCAGGATGCATAACTTAAGTTATAGCTGCAGGCTTCCAGTGTAATGCCTTTGGGTGATCCCAATGTGAATCCAGTAATAAGAGGAAGCCTGTGTCATGATGAAGTAATTTCTTCAGTACCAATGCAAATGTCTGATGTAGATGCTAATGATTGAAGGGGCAGATGCAGTAAAGTTTTGTAGCATGATGCAGAAATGGGCAAACCTATTGTCACTATGAGCTGGAGGGGCACCCAGCCTGGAAACAGGAAAATCAGGTCATAAGGCCACACCAATTTAATTTCTTCGTTAACGGATTCGCCCGCTTAATTTTTTCCTGATTTGCAAATAAAATAAAAATTCAGAATCAACTGCAAAATGTTCATATTTTGCCCTCAACAGTTGAAAACAGTCCTTTTCATCCTAGTTGTTAAAGTTATTCCATCTTTCAATGCAATGGTATCATTAAAGTTCAAAATTCATTGTTTGAATTTTGAACCAGCCTGGTGTGTTGACTTCATGGCTCCTATCGTACCATTTTGGGCCATAATAGGATGCCTAGGCCTGTTTTTATTTATTTATTTTTTTTCGACCACCCGCGCCATTATTTTTGTGTTGGAAGGCCTTTAACTATTTAATACTGGTATACTAGTATTTCAACATGTAAGGCTGATCTAATTAGGATTTATTTTTAGTACTGGGAGTGGGTTGTTCAAAGGAAATTAAAAATAGCTCCGTTTAGATCTGCCCGCATGCATCGTGGTGAAACCCATTTGTCCTTTTCACAAAGGCTCCAAAATGAAAACCACACCTGTGACAATGTCCCATCTTCTCATTGTTTATTCACTAAAAGGAGCTGCACAAAAAATATGACACTATTGTGACCAAGAATAGCTCAAACAAAAACTTCATGTAGAGAGCAAAGAATTCTACAGATAAATTTACAATGAGTCTTTTCTGAGAT